ACCATAATCATTCTAGTCCCACAGGCGCCTGGGTATTTTGAAGAATCGTTGTCACTCAGTACAGCATCATAAACTCAACATAAACAAACAAAAACACAGTGAGCATGCTGTGTGTGTAGTTGGGAATCCTACGTATGTTTTTCTTTGCCTTGGGGGAAAACAGACATTAGGTTTATGTAGGTGCCAAAAAACAACTACAAAACATACACAAAAAAAACATCCAAGCTGTTATCATTTGTTACATTTTTATAAAGGTACCATTGATGCAAATATGTATTATATAACACCTATGTTGGCACCAAGGTGACATATTCTCCATGTAGGTTTTGTTGTTACATCAGAGACGATGTAAGACTTTATCCTGCAAGACGTAACATCACAGACTCATAGACACTGCAGCTTAACATTTATCCCCAATTCAAAATGAATGGCAACAAATAGAAGAATCACATAAGAAGAAACCATGATAGGGACATCACTAGGTGTGTAACCCTGAGACCTAAAGGAACATAAAATTTAGTAGAGCTGCACCACCTCTAAAGAAGACCCGAGCCCCAAAAGTCAAGGCTTGACCACCACATACAGGTCCAACCCTTTGGACGTTTACATGTATTTTGACCCTCAAAAATCTGAAATTTAGACAAAAAATCCTTATTACTCGCACACGCTACAATAGGGGAGCGGAGACAAGCAGACTGTCGACTGTAGGGAAAGACACAACGTGGGGCAGAGATAACAGCATCAACGAGCAGGGAAGGGAAGATGGCCAGAGGTGGCATACTTATTTCTAGCGGCAGAGTGGTTCGTTGGGAGAGGGTTATTTAATTTTATTTATGTTTTTTTGTACAGTCTACAAGCTCTGAGATGTAAAATGATTTTGAAGCAGAGCTTTTGAAAAGAATCTATGAAGTTTTTTTTTTTTTTTATAAACAATTGTGTCACATGGTTGATATAATTTGATGTTTGTTTGTTTGTTTTTTCTCCTCATCTTCCCTTGTCTGGTTTTTAGATTTCTTTTAAGGGTAGCACATCCTCTTGATGTCTTCATGAAGATAGATCCTTGCTCTGTGCAGGGTCAGTGGCTGCATGGCCCAGGGCACCTGTTCTCCTGTTTGTTATGTTCTGTCTTCTTCTGAATGGGTGTTCTGAACTGTAATTTCATTGTGCTCTATAAAATGACAATAAAGGTCTAATCTAATCTAATCTAATCTAATCTTATCTAAGTTTGAAAAACTCCCTATACATCTATATACCTGCAAAATGGGGGGAAATCTGTGCAATTTACAGACAATCTGTACAACTTGACACACCATGCTCTCACCATTGAGCTGCCAAAGATTTTTTATTTTTTTTTTTTAAATTTCTGGGCCAGGTATACTGATGCATTAGTTTTTAATTCATCAAGGTTTCGAATCGCTCTTGGTCTGACCCATCTCTTGAGGTCTGTTGGCCATGGGAGATCCTAGAAGGTGCTGAGCCCCAGATAGTATAGTCCCCAGAATCATGAAAATGTGTGACTTTGCTAATCTTTATTTAAGCTAATTAATTGTAAAGAATGGTCCAATGGGACTGATTACAGGCGCACAAGCAATCAATGCACCAAGACTGTATCATGTTAGCAACATACCATTCTGCAAAAGCAAAACTATGATTTTTGCGGCAATCCACCACTCACACCATCTCCCCCAAACAAACACACACAAAGTAGAATGATTAAAGGGTAAAAAACAGACAGAAAAGGTGAAGAGGTATACTTCTCTTTCAGCTTGTTGACTTTGGCGCCCACACTGTTGAGCTGGTCCTCCAGCTTGTTTTTCCTACTCTCAGTTTTTCTGAGATTCCTGTACAAGCACACATGTATGAATGAACTTACAAGAACATAGAATGTGGTATTATGTTAAATACAACAGCTGCAACAGTGTATAAATGCAAAGTATGCTGTATGTGAGCAGAAGCTGATCACAAGTTCCATAAACAGCTGTGGTATAATTTTGAGAATAAGTTTAGATAAATTGCAACTTTTATGCACATAGTTATCAGCCAGATGTGTGATGGGAACATTAATATAGCTGTTTCTTTAGGATGTGTTTAAGTGTGGCTCCTACTCTAGTAGTCCAGCTTGCTCTCTTTCCAATGGCTCAATTCTCTCCAGGACAAAGGAGTACTGGACGTTGGCTTTGACCCAAGCAGCCAGAGGAGCAGCTGCAGCACTTGCACGCTTTGCATTCTGACAATTAAAACAGCATCATTCATCAACAACCTTAATTATGGGTTATTAATATCAAACAATTTAATTTTTATTCTGCTGCTGTCTGACCTTGGGGTCAAACGAGGCTTTGTTTTTGTTCAGCAACTCCTCCACACTCTGGCGAATCTCAGGAGTGATGTTCCTGGCTTCAAATGTGGCTATGTCCTCCCTCACACCGCGTTTAGCCAGAAAGCTGCAGTGGAAACCGCAGATCTTCAGACATTTCATGGTTGGCTTCAAGATAATATTTTGTCAATTGATGTTAAAAAAACTGTGTGCATGTGTTTTTCCTCACCCAGGAGACATTTCAATATAACAAATCAACTCACTTTTTTAAACAAACCCCTTGATATTGTCACTACCTACAAATATCTTGGAATTACTTTGGATTCTCATTTGACTTATCGTGATCATGTACAAGTCTTAACCACTACCATGTCGTACTGTTTACCTGTTTGGTCTCTTACAACAAATGAAATCTTAGAACCCATAGTTAGGCTCTACAAC